ACAAACTGCTAATGAAAAAGGTGGAAGATTCAGTGGTTTTGAAGGTATCATGAAAAGGATAAGCATGAAAAGCTGGGAAAGGAAGCTGTAATAGATCCGGTCATGGTCCTGGTGTACCTCCCTGATGAAATTTTGAAAAAAAAAGCTTATAGAAATGGGTCGTGCGTCAGAGAAAACCAGCTGGAGATGTTGCTGCTTGTGTTTTCAGAAGATCTTGCTATAATGGAATCACATGGGTTTATTATCAGCAGAAATTTCGAACACGTTACAAATTGTTAATGAAAAAGGCAGAAGATTCACTGGCTTTGAAGGTTGATCAGCAATGAAAAAAAGAATGGAAGCAATGACTGGCTATGGAAGAATTTCTTGATGTTAATCTTATATGAACGTTTTGAAAGTTTTATATTTTTAAATTTTTTGATTTGGAATTGATTTTTTGGATATATATTATTTGAATTAATAAGATTTAAAGGATTGAAGTATTTGATAAAGAAGAGAGTAGATGGTTATACTATTAAAATTTGTCGTAAAAAAGAAAGAAAATTTCACTTAAAAGATATGTATTCGAGATCAAAAAGAGTTTAAATGATTAATGATATATAATTGTATTATCCTAAAGGACTTATATTGTCTTAGAGGAATTTAAAGATGGTTTTTAATGGGTTTTAAGATATTTGGATGATTAATAGCAGTAAGATTAAAAGATATGTACTGGAGATCAAAAAAGAGTTTAAATGATTAATGATATATAATTGTATTATTCTAAAGGACTTATATTGTTTTAGAGGAAGTTAAAGATGGTTTTTAATGGGTTTTAAGATATTTGGATGATTAATAGTAGTAAGATTAGTAGTTAACTTTTTATTTGTAGAAACGGTAAAGTTTAATTTTTAGATACTTGGATCTGGGGAAGATGGATAATTATATTTTGAGTTTTGGAGTTAAAATAAATTAATATTGGTATGTATTATAACTGGATTGTTTTAGTTAGATGGGGGTTGTTTATTTACTCCTGTATTTAGTTCAGGGAAGTCCGGGGGGGGATGGGGGGAAAGGGATTTCTTATGTATTTTGGTATACTAGAATGGTAGTGAGATATAATGTAATAGGAGGTTTTTCAGTTTGTTTTTGTTTTTACTATTATTATTATTGTATGCCATAATTGTATTTCTGTTTATTTTAAAAATTAATAAAAATTTGTTTAAAAAAAAAAAAAGATTGTTATATTTAGAAGGACATGACTTACAACTTGGATGGCACTCATTTTTATGGTATGAAAAGAATAAAACCCATAGATATTTCCAAAACCACTACATAAGAAACACATTATTATTTGTATAGGAAAAGATAAAACTAAAAATCTATATGAAAATCCCAGGATGGCTATGAACGATGGAAGCATTCGTTCACTCAAATTTTTATTTTACAAATTTTATTAATTTTTCAAATAAACATATGGACAAATAATACAAATATGGTGCATTTCATTAGAATAAATACACCAAATTTTATATAATTCTACCCCTTCATCCCCTTCCCCCCTCCCCCCTGGACTTCCCAGAACTGAGTACAGGGATAAATACATAACATCCCAAGTCTAAAATAAGCTATCCATTCATAATACAAACAAAATCAACATACTTTAACTCTAACATACAATAATAAATTTAATTAAATCTGAGAAACTTCTAACATATAAGGATATTCTGAATGCAGATGGGAGATTAAAATCTAAACAAGAGTTAAAAGATCAGGGTATTGACTTATCATGGTGGCCCTGACTGCAAATGCAATTGAGGTATGATAAAGATGTTAAAATATACGGTTTTTATAAAAACCAGACAATGTTTGATCACATGTTGTTGACTTCTGATGAAAAACTGATTTAAAAATTGTATAATTTTTTACCGAATCTGAAAATGGAAGAAACAATGATAACATGGGCAAAATTTTTTGGATATAGTATAGAATTAGAGAAATAGCAAAACCTTTGGGAAAGAAACTATAAATTGACAATGGTAAATTCGTATAAAGAAAACCTATATAAAATGTTCTACAGATGGCATCTTCCACCTGTTAGATTAGCAAAAATGTTTTAACATATATCTAGTAAATGTTGGAAATGTAATCAAAATCCTGGTACATATTATCACCTGTGGTGGACATGTGTTAAAGCAAAAAACAAAATGGACAAAAATACATACTTGATTAGAAAAGATGATAGGGAAACATGTAGATTTTAAACCTGAAATCTTTTTATTAGGCATAATTCCAGAAAAAAATGATAAACAAAATGTATATTTAACATTACATGTATTAACAGCAGCAAGGATTGTATTTGCTCAGCACTGGAAAAATGAGATAACACCATTGGATGAAGCGATAATCAAGAAAATACTGGATTGTGCTGAAATGGATAGACTTACATTGAGAATCAAAGAAAAAGAAGACACAGAATACTTTCAAACATGGAACTTATTTGATCAATGGCTGGAAAAACAAGACAGAAAGTAAGAACTTAACTTATTACTAAGCAAAAAATCAACCCAGACAACATGTTACTCATTAAGCACTAACGAACTGTAATAATAGAAAATTAATAAAATACTTTTAAAAAGAAAATAATCTCTTTCCACCTGAGCAGAAAGGAAACCGTCCCAATAGCAGAGGAACAAAAGATCAACTCCTAATTGACAAAATGTTTTTGGAAAACTGCAAGAAAGGAAGATAAACCTAAATGTAGCATGGATTGATTACAAAAAAGCATTCAATTCTCTGCCACATGACTGGATAATCAAAGGCCTAGAAATAATAGGAGTCAGGAGAAACATCAGAAATTTTGTGCAAAGATCGATGGCACAATGGAAGACACAGTTGCAGGTCAATGCTGAGAGATTGGGAGAGGTTAATATCACGAGAGAAATATTTCAAGGAGATTTACTATCACCACTACTATTTGTCATTGCACTGTTTCCTCTGTCAACAATACTGAATAACTCAGGCCATGGCTATCAAACATCAAAAACATCTGTCAGACTATCCCACCTCTTTTACATGGATGATCTGAAACTGTATGGAAAAACACCATCTCAACACTGTCCGTATATATAGCCAAGATATTGCAATGGAGTTTGTAGTGGACAAATGTGCCACACTCACTATCAAACAAGGAAAAATAGCCCCACTAAATTAACATTAAGAGTCTGGATGAGGATGATTACTATAAATACTTGGGTATCCTTTAAGCTGACATCAAGCACACTGAAGTCAAGAAAAAGATTAGAGATGAATATATCAAGAGAGTGAAGAAGATCTTAAAGTCCAAACTCAATCAAGGAAATACCATCAAGGCAATCAACACCTGGGCAATACCAGTCATTGAAATAGTGGACTGAACTGAAGCAGAACCAAAAGCAATGGATAGGAAAACCAGAAAAATAATGACAATGAATCATGCCCTTCATCACAGTAACATTGACAGACTCTACCTACCAAGGCAAATATATGGGCATGGATTGTTGCAAGTACATCAGATGGTTGAAGAAGAAAAAATGGCTTTGGAAAAATATCTGAAGGACAATGATAAAGGTGCACTGATGCACTAGTATATCAGGAAGGCTTATTAACTACTGGAAACACCAAACTGGCCTACAAGCTCTATATGGCCAGTACATTAAAAAAAAAAATAGCAGGGAAATCAGATAATAACAAGACCTGGCAATGGCTAAGAGCAGGAAAATTGAAGAAAGAGACTGAAGACTAATTCTGGCTGCAAAAGGCCAAACCTTAGGACAAATGCATACAAAGCCAAAATTGAGAAGACAGCAACAGACAGTAAGTGCCGCCTATGCAAAGAAACAGTGGACCACCTGGTTAACTGCTGCAAGAAGATCGCCCAGACTGACCAAAAGTAGCAGCATGACAAAGTAGCAACAATGGTACATTGGAAGAGCTGCAAGAAATATCATTTGCCTGCAAGCAAGAACTGATGGGACCATAAAATAGAGAAAGTCATAGAAAATGAAGAAGTTAAATTGCTCTGGGACTTTAGAACTGAAACAGATAGGCATCTACCATATAACACCCTAGACTTACAATTGTCCATTGGAAATACAAAAACTTCTGGAGAACAGACAGGGCAGTGCCTGGAAACAGCAGAACAGAAGAGAAAGAACTGGAGAAGATAACAATATACAAAGATGCACAAATAGAACGACTGTGGCAAAGGCAAGCAAGGGTAATAGGCGCCTTAGGTGCAATCGCAAAACAACTTGAACATCATTGGAATTGACAAATTCACCATCAATCAATTGCAAAAGGCAGCTTTACTGTGAATAGCTTCCATCCTGCGACGATATCTGTAACACGTCAAACATCCAGATCTGCCTATCACAAGTCCTTGGTAAGGACTCAATAGGTAGACAAAAATGCCAAACCCAGTCTGAACATCTGGCTGACTGTGCAATGACTGATGATGATGATGATGATGATGATGATAATGACAATAATAATAATAATAATAATAATAATAATAATAATAATAATAATAATAATAATAATAATAATAATAATAATAATATAAAGGCCTTCCTAACTTGCTGTCTGCTGCCAAGAGAAGAATAACTTAAAAACAGGGCTTTATTTGTCATAGAACACCCAGAACGGAGTTCCGGCACCTTTTTTGGATGGAACCTTGTAGGGTAGGCAAGGCGGGTTGTATGACATGTGTGAGTTCTGGCACCTTTTTTTATTATTATTTACAAAAAAAGCACTGCATAAAAGTATCTATTTCAGCTTTCCTTGGCAGAATTCCCAGCATATTTGTAAATATTTACAATATTATAAACCTGTTGGCAATAATCCAAAACAAACTTAAGTGTGATTAACTTCTACTGACGGCAATTCCATTTGTTATAAGATTTGTTCCTGCCTTTTAAAGATCTTAGCAATAAAGTAATTAGCATATTCATTCTTTGAAAACCACAGCATCAACCACATACCTTTATAATATCCTGATTCATGTCAATTATCATCTTATACCATGGTTTGACATGATTCACCAAATATATTGGACCAAATACAAAAAAGATTTTTATTTTTTCAGCTAATGCTGGCATAGCTGAAAATGCAATGAATCCTAAGAATAAAGAAAATTAATGATTATTCAGAACCATTACTAGTCACAGGCTATTTATAATAATTACACTATATCTGCTAGAGGAAAAAGTGGATAGTGTATCCACACAATTTGATGATGATAAATCCCTGAATTAAAAATTATCCAACTATTTTGCAAAAGAATTCAAATGTATTTTCACTGACTGATTTCCTGTCAATTTACCATCTTCAGACATCCTTAATTAGACATTGATTGTTTTCTTATTATATTCTTGTGGATGAGGCTTTTTATATCCATCATATTTTATTAATAGTTATTTTTAAAAGTAATTTATTCTATTCTTGTATGTTGTACTTGGATAATAGATTTAATTTTTGCCCTTTTTCACATGGTTTGTCCCTCCTATTCATTTTTTTTTCTTTTAACAATCCTATAATTCCTTGCATGGGGTAGAGTTCGAGCAACTGAATGGAGCTGAGCATTTACTGACAGGATGCCCTTCCTGGTGCCTATGAGGAGCTCACAGCAGATATTTTCTCTTTGCGCCCAGAGAGAAAAATATCTGCCCCTACCTAGGATCCAACTCACAGCCTCCTGATTATAAGGCAAGAGCTCTACCTCTAGACCAGGGCTTTTCAACCTTTTCACCCATTGTACCACTTTTAGGATATGGCAACATCTGAGTACCACCAGTCGCCTAGCAAGGTGTCAAAAACTTGATAACCCCCCAAAAAAGGAAAAAAGTGATAAAGTAACAGGTAGTCCTCGACTTACAACAGTTCGCTTAGTGACTGTTCAAAGTTACAATGGCACTGAAAAAAGTGCCCCCCAAGCCACAGCCAAGCAAGACACCTGCCTGCCTGCCCAGCGGCGCTCTTCCTCCTGTCCGAGGTTTTCATTGTTGTGAGCATTTCTGTTGAGGATTGGCAGCGGGGGTGGGGTGGGGGTGTTTGGTTTTTATTCCCCCTGTCTGCTGGGTGGTTGCAGCAGGTTTTGGTCACTTTACATGACTCTGGGACACTGTGACCATCATAAATATGAATCAGTTGCCAAGCATCTGAATGTAAATCACAAGACCCTGGAGATGCTGCAACATTCCAGCTGATCGGTGCTTCTTCTGGGCTCAGTAGAAACACCAGGATCAGCGCCAAGCTCCAGCTGGAGCCTGGCGCTGATCCTGGTGTTTCCACTAAGCCCTGACAGCCCCAAAGAAGCGCCGATCAGCTGGAAAGCAGCAGTGATCCTGGCGCTTCCGCTGAGCCCTGACAGCCCTGCAGCTCCAGCCATCTCTCGCTCAGGCTTGTGCGGTGCTGCCACCAGTTCAGCTCACTCCCCTCCTCCGCTACCACTTTTCTAGGATGGTCGCATACCACCTGCCAGGTGCCAATGTAACACAGGTGGTACCCGTACCACTGGTTGAAAAGCCCTGCTCTAGACCACCACACAGCTTATAACTCTCCTCTTCATTGATTCAGTAATAATGGCTTATTATCACATTACACATAGGAATTTTACCCAGTCATAGGAGATTTTTCTTGAATGGGGAGGATTCTATACAGATACCAAGGATTGAATTAAAGGCCACTTGTTTTAAATGCAAATTAAAGGATTTTTGTTTTTGTTTTGTTTTAGTGATAGCAATCCCATTCCATTTGGAATGTCACATAGCACAACCTATCTAAGGATACGAGTCAATAAAGATTATGTATGTTTGGCTTACTCGAGGCTCCCTATCAAGCCCTAGCATTTGCTGGATAAAACTAGCTAGATGAATCAATAGAACGTCATGGTATAAGACAGGCTTTTCTGTCTTATGTACTGGTTTCACTTCATTCACACTTTCCATTATTTTGTCTCCAACAAATTGTTCAATTACTTCTTTGTTACTTCTTACCATTCTCCTACAAATCTAAACAAAACAATTACAATGAAGAATATAATTATAGATATGCTGTAAGAATTAATGCTTAGAAGTCTATAGCTCTGGCCAGTTTGCATCCCGTCAGCGATTACCACAGTACAATGAGCTCAGATACTATGTCCTGGTCCCAAGCCACAATGTTGTCACCTGCATCATGATCTCGTTGTATCATTTGCCTGATGACATTAAGATGCTTATCATGTCACTTGCCCTTCCATCCCCCTGCTTCCCTTTCACCCCTGCAAAAATCCAAGAACTTACCTATAGTGGATCCTTGGGAATAGCCAACATAAAAAAGTTGTTTCTGTCCAGTTTTAGCTAGGATAAAATATATAATAGATGGCAGGTCTTCCATTGCCATTTCATGAAAACTGAAATAAAATAAAGTCAATCAATCAATCAAATCTTTGTTACAGTCATAGCCAAATATTAGAAGGGTGACATAAAAACAATTGATAATTTTAAAATCTAAGAAACATAAAATATATAAAGTTAATTTAAAAAAAACCTAAAAGGTATATATATATAAAATATAAAAGGAATAAAAAATATAAAAGAATTATATGGCTGACTAAATCTATTATAATACAAAACAAAGAACTGGATGATGAAACTTATATCACTATAGCAATATGTGGTAAGCTATTCAAACTATCTCTCTTTCCAGATTATTTTTGCATTGATTGTGTTTATAATTGCTTATTTGTCATAGAACTATAGGATGGGAAGATTTTGAAAATCATAATATAATAGAAATGTAAAAGAAAACAATCACCTATCCAGTTGGGGGAAGAAAATGTATGGAAGGATGGTTTTCAAGAGAATCACGATAGTGGCCGTGACTGGTGTTGATAACAGTCAAAGCCCTGCCCGTTTTGTGTGTGCATTGTGACATGTTAAAAAGGAGATAGGACTTTGATTGTACAATCATAGCTACCATCTTGATTTTTTTTTAATCTCTCCTGTGGATGCCCTTGACAGCTGATGAACATGGATGCTTCTGTCCAATCAGACTCATAGCATAGTTCAAGATGTTGGGTTTTCCTTTCAAGTCACAGACATGGTATGATCCATCTTTTGAACTTCTATCACACTTCATGCCCGTATTAAGTGAAGTTTTATCACTTCCCCCCCACCAGCACCAAATGATTTAACTTACCTGAAATTCCAGAATTCTTCTTCTTTATGTGAAAAGTGCTGGTGTCTTTTACACCATCTGCTTCCTCGGTTATTTGCCAACCAAACATCAAAGCCAGCATCTGCCAGTATAAAACCTAAGCTGCTATTGGGTTCATTAGTTATCCATATTCCACAATCTGTAAGAATTCCTGGCATCAGTAACACAGCAGGTTTTGAAGCTGTAAACAAAACAAAACAAAAAAGGAAAGGAAGAAAAGAAGGACATTTCAAAAATAACAAAAAAGTAATTACATCAAATTGCCTATGGATGGAAAAAAATCAAGTTCAAAATTAAGTATCTGGCCCAATTACAACTGAGCTATAAATATGCAATACAAAATAACATTAGAAGGCAAAAGAACAGTACACACATTTGCATTGGCTTAATATTTTCATTCATTCATTCATTCATTCATTCATTCATTTATTTATAACTGCCCATCTCACATGAAAGTGAATCTGGGTGGCATTATAACACTATATAACTATAAAAATGAGGTTATGTTCTTTCCTGTTTCCCCATGTTCATTTAAATGAAATGATTAGCATGTAGTTTAGTCATCAAGACCATCTTGAGATTCCTTGACTGAGATCTAGACCTGGGAAAATTCCAAAACATTCCTATTACATGATATAATAATATCATGGAAAATGAAACAAGCTTGGGGCCATTATGGTTTTTTTCTGTGTTCATTTGTTTTCAGGGTGACTTCTGTTTCCCATATGTATGAACAAATAAATTACTTCAAATGATCGCCCCTTTTATATGAAAGAGTTCTCTCACTGCAGAAGATATCTACAGAAGATAAGAATATAAATAGGATATTTCAGTGATGGCGAACCTTTTAGAGACCGAGTGCCCAAACTGCAACCCAAAACTCATTTATCATTGGGTGCTGGGTGGGCATGGCCCATTGGGTGGGCGTGGCCCATTGGGTGGGCATGGCAGACTGGGTGGGCGTGGCCATCTCGATGTTGCTCGTGGGGAGGGACGCCTGTGGGGGCCAGGCAGGGTTGGGGGAGATCCAGGGGGTCTCTGGCGGGTGGGACATGGGCAGGAGGCTCATCCTGCAAGGCAAGGCAAGGCAGGGGGGGCAAGGCAGGGTGCCATTGCCGCAGGGCAAGGCAAGGCAGGGGCCAGGGCAGCTGCTGCCTGACACCATTGGCCCCCCGCGTACAGCAAGCACATGGGGACCAACTGTCCATCAGCAGCCACAGCCTGCTGGCCCCTCGGTTTTGGCGCAATGTGGCTGTTTGCTGCCTTGCATGTCGCACCCAATGCAGCTGCCATGAGGCCACAGAACAAGCGGGGCAGAGATAAGGCACCAGTATACCAGTTTCTTACTGCCGCCCGGCTTGTTCCGTGGCCTCGTGGCAGTGGCATTGGGCAGTAGGCGGCAAACGGCCGGTTTCAGCATGATGCAGCTGTTTGCCATCTCACATATTGCGCCCAATGCTGCTGCAATGCAGCTTGGCCGAAAGCGGCCGTGAAACAAGTGGGGCAGGTTTCCCCCCCACCCGCTGCATGGATCGCCCTGCCACCACTGCCTTTCCCCCCACCCGCTGCGCGGATCCCTCTGCTGCCACTGGGAAAGGGCCTTTTCCAAGCTCCGGAGCTCGCATCCATGACTGCGGGGCGATTTTGTGGAGCGCCAGTGGCCCGATCTAGGCTCCAGAGGCCTAGAAAACGCTTCTGCCACCCGTATCGGCCATGGGGGGGGGGTCAAAATCACTCTGCAGCCCACAAATTTATTTGGGCAGGCAAGAAGCCAAGGGTTAGGTTTAAGATTATGCAGGATATAAGAGAACGAGGAGGACTTAAAGTTCCTAATTTAAAATTATATTATGATGCGGTGGTTTTGACATGGATTAGTGATTGGTTAAATTTGACAAATAGAAATATTCTTTCTCTTGAAGGATGGGATTTGTTATTTGGTTGGCA